GGCGTATTTAAAGGGGGGATATATAATCAAGATATATAATTTCCCCCTCGATCTATATATTCAGTATATATTACTGAATAATACTTATTTTATGATATAATAATATTTTATAATAATTTTTTTTTTAATTCAAATTTCTTTAATTTTTTAGTAAAAAAATAAAAAATGTCTATGACTTAAACACCCTGAAAGTAATCTACTAGACGGAGTATTAAAAATTACTAATACTTAATATTTTAATTTCAATGATAATTTCAAGACAAATCAAATTATAAATTACTCACAAAAACATAAAAATTCAAGATTTCCTTCTTTTTTTTTTTTAGCCTGTATAGGTTAATATGACAAAATGTTCAATTTAAATATATCCTTCGTTAGAAAAATCCTGAATACGCCACTGTAGGTATTTATTTTATATTTTTATTGACGATTGTAGAAAAAGCTTTTTTTGCAGAGGCGATTATACGCTGCAGTTAACTAGCGCTGTATAGTCAGCCGAATCTCTGCGGTATTATTTTTTCGCGAAATTCTCGTGTTTTTTCCACGTTAATATATTGAATTTCCTTCAAGTTTGTATTCATTATTATATCGAACTCGGTAAATATTAGCGTTTTAAAAAGGCGTGTATAGTAAGCGCTTTCCAACGTGGGTTCCGGCGCATAAAAGGGGCCAAAGGGGCCCGCCGACAACACACCGTTTCAGACGATTCTAGATCTGTTCACGGGGAGTGCCTTCACGCCGGATTGTCTTGCGAACATTATCGTACGCGATTGAATTTAATCGAAGAAATAACATCTGAAACATTCCGACTATTTCTCCGATTCAATTTTTAAGTTAACGTGAAACTCATATATTACAGTGGTCAGCGACAGCCCGCAACAGTAAATAGTGTTAGGTGTATACATAATATTATGTAGGTGTGTATAGTAGGTTAACTGCTGCGAACCGATATAATACGCGCGTTTAATTATTTAATTATAGTTGAGCAACAGTGGAAATTGCTTTTATTATTTTATATCCCAGGATCGGGTTAGGTAACCGGTGAACATTGGTGAAAATATATATAGGCTGGTATATAATACATATAATAAACGATACTTGCCCGATTTTTAAAATCGAGAAAGTAAAACGCGCGCGGTTTACATTGCGTGCATTTTTAGCGTCATTAATGGCGCGATATACTCGTTTTTGGAATAAAATATGCAGCGGTTATAAAAAAAAAAAAAAACACCGTCCAATTATATTTTTGTATATTATTTCGCCGATTTTTTTCTCTCTCTCTGTCTCTCTCACTCTTTCTCTCTCGCTCTCTCTCTCTCTATCTGTCGACCTCGAGAATAAATTATTATATTCGTTAAAAAAAAAAAAAAAAAAACGAAAAGAAATCAATGCGGGAACGGCGGCGGCGGACGATTTATACCGAATTAT